GGAGCCAATTCAATGTCCACCCTTTGGTGTTGCATTTGTCAGGGAAAACTGAGTTAAAAATCTTAGGCATGAACAGAAGTAACGAGGTCGTTATAGGTCCGCTAAAGGTGCCCCCCAAACATGAGCCATTGTACATTTACTACTTCCACAAAGGAGGCCAGAAATTAATTAGAAGAGTTGAACTTGAAGGATTTGAAGAGTTTAGGTGCAATCATACAAGTGACGAGCAATGTGTTTGTCAAGTCATTTTCTCACCGGAACACTTTGAAAGTCTCGTGTCTTTATAATCTGTCTTTTTTTTTTCCTTTAATTTATGAAGGATTGTGACATACTGATGTTTGTGTTTCTTTTTAGTAACTATATTGTTGAATCTTACTTCCGCGTTTTAACTTGTCATTTTGTGTGGTAGGTTCTTTAACTTGTTATTCATTGCCAGAAACTCAATGTCAAAAGCTCAAATATTTATCAATGTTAGAACTAAAGTTATGAAATTGCAATAAATTTAGGACCAAGTAAGAAATCTTGGCATGTTTAGTCAAAGGATACAAACATCAATTGCAATGCCTTAAACTATTTTAAGAGTATTCATAAACTTCTTGCTAATTAGATAATTTCAGAGTTCACTATGAATATTTATAACTAAGTTAGTGTTTTTAAAATTTTATATGTATGGAAATTTCATAATGTTGTGTTTCTTTTAAGTTATAAGGGATAATATATAACAGTATAACCACATAAGGTTATTGTTTAATACCATTAAATGATTTCGTAACGTCCGTTAACGGATGTTAAGTCGTGGGTTAGAGTCTACCAACAATTAAAAAATGAGGTATTTTTTTACCAACTATAAATATTTAAGGTATTTTTATTCAAAAAAAATAAACCGAGGTATTAAACGGCCAAATAAAAAATAGATGAGGGTTTTTTCGGGTTCATCAAACAATTCATAATGTATCAAAGTCGCAAGAAAGTAGGAAACTCATACCAAATTTGCATCAATCATATGTAGAGGAAGAACTTTGACCCTCAAGCACAATAGTGGTTGAGGTTTTACCATCAATGTGCGTCTCCATTGAGTCTTCAGAATCATTTCTACCTATTACTCCGTCTCCAGCATCGTCTGCGTCCTCAGAATTACTACCTCGTCCTCAGAATTACTACCTTCCATTACGCCTTCACAATCATATCTTGTACTTGTCCTGCTCCTTTTATTTCTTCAACTCGGATATCGTCTTACCTCATCAAAAATAATACCCACTGTTAGGTTTTTAAGATCATCTCCTACCATTGAACCATTCACCTTTGACACACCCTACCACGCTGTTTAAACTTCTTTCCATGACTAGTTGAAACAAGAAGCGCATCAAGGAGGGTCAACAATCAACGCAACAACAGCGAGCCCAACAAGTATTGCTCAGCGTAATATCGGTATTTTATTGATTTTTTTATCTTTTATTTATATATTTTTCTCTCTAATCCAGTTCTAGCATTGCTCGTCGCAGGTCGTTATTCATGTTTTCTGAAATTCAAAGCATATAAATGAATCACTTTTTTATATAGTTATAATTAATCGTCTATTTATTTTTCTTAAAATTCGATTATTTCAATAATTTTTTTTTTTCACAATTGTTCAAAATATGAACATCACAGCATGTCTTAAGATTGAATTCCAACACTATATCAACTCATCTCGACACTGTTTTTCTATTTCATTGACTTCCCCCATTCATCATTCTTAAAATCAAGAATCATTTTATCTTTTATAAAAAATTGAAACAAGAAATCAAAATTGTCCTAACCACCAAATTTTTAATTTATGAATGATTGTGACAAAGGTAATTTTTTTTTTTTTTTTGTAAATCTGGCTTTTCAACTTGTCATTAACTGCCTCAAAAATCAAATTTATCAATGCTAGAACTGAATTTTTGAAAAAGCATTAAATTTAGAACCCAAGTAAGAAATTATGCATGTATTGAAAAGATACAAACAACAATTGTAATGTTTTTGATATTTTAAGAGTATTCAAAATAAATGACCATAATTAATTATGATTATAGATAATTCATAATGAATTTTTTATTTGATAAAACCACTAGTGTGGATGCTATTTTTCTAGATTACATACTAAATTTTTAAATAGCACGTTGATTTACTCTTGAGATACGAGTTATTAAATACAAGAGCATTTTATTTTAAAAAATAGTAGTGTTTTTTTACAACTTATAGAAAATCATTTATTTCTTATATAAAATTCATATTTATTTAATTCATTCATTGTGATATGAAGTAATATAGTCAAATACACTTGAATTTTTTTAGCAATACATAAAGCCCATAAACATGCAACAGAAACATCCTCTTAATTTCTTTTAGCAATACATAAGTACCTTACTTAAGACCCATTGCCGCTAGGCGAAGAAGAGGTAAGACCAAAAGCCAAAGAGGATGTGGGGTACCCTAGGGCAGATGACGCATGTGGATCCCACGCTAGTCGGTTCCACCTCGGTGGGACCGGACACCCAAGTTAACAAAAAAAAAAAAAAAAAAAAAAAGCCAAAGAGGAACAAATCAACTGTGTTTTTCTTTTAGACCACCCCTCAAAAGATATTGTTAGCTCCTAAGAGACTTTGCATTAAACTAGTTGCTACCGGATGCAGAGCCGGTCCGGCATATTTGAGTGCCCTACGCAATTCCTAAAAAATATGCCCTTTTCATATCACACTTCTACGAATTGAAACAAGCAAAAAAAATAAAAATAAACACATAACCAGCCAAAATTATGAACTAAAACTGTGAAACAATTACCAAAAGTATAAACTAAAACTGTGAAACAATTACCAAAAAAATACAGAGAAGTCAAGAAGAAAATAAAAAAACTAAAGAAAACTAAGAAAAATTTTATCAAGTATTTTTAAAAAGTGTAGGGTCGATTTTTTTTTCCCTTTTCTCTAGAGTTTAGGATTTTTTATTTTCAAGTCTTTAAGTTGTTTTACTTGTATATGAAAAAGCCCACAATGTTTATCTAAAAGGGCCTTACACAACAATCTAATGATCCATAGTATAAACATATATGAAAAATCATTTAAAAAAAATTATCTGAAAAGGCCCACAAAATATGAGGCCCGAATCAGTGGCTTCACTTGCCTGTCATATGGGCCGGGCCTGACCGGATGCACCAAGCTATGAAATTTGGTCTAACTTATGAACGCTTAAAAGAATGGGAAGATGTAATCATAGAATAAATGTTTTAAATGTATGTGGATATTCGATATGCTCCGTTTAAAAGTAAAAAATTAAACTATGTATAACGAATCAAAGTCAATTTTTATAAAATCAGTTTTATGACTTTCAATACTATATTATGTCACTATGTAGTTTGCTTTGAATCATTTTGAATTGATGTCGAACGAATAACTAATTTGCTCATCCTACTTTTCGTTTTTTTTTTCTTCCATTGTGTACATAAGACAAGAATTAACTTCCAATTCATCATTGTCAGAGTCAAGAAATCGTCTTATCTTTAAAGGTACATGTATTACACTATTACCTAAACAAAACTATAATCAAGAAATTAGAACTCTCCCAAACCCGAACCACTAAATTTTTAATATAAGAATGATTGTGACAAAACTAAAGTTTGTGTTTCTTTTCAACTTGTCATTCATTAATCATTACTTTAATAAATTTGAAACCAGCATAATAAATAGATAACAGAAGTTAAGAATATGTAATAAATTTAGAACCAACATAAGAAATCTCGTAACATTTCCGTAGATTTTGTGGTTCATTTGAAAAGCTTGAAATGCCAATGTGTGTTTGAGAATAAAAATGTACTCAAGAAGAGAAATCATTTCGGATTGCTAATGCTCGTGTTAGATTAGTAAATTCCCAGTCGAAGAATTTAGGTGAAAAAGAACGTCATGCACATGATCCGATTATTTGTCGGGTCATGGCTGGATTCAGACCCATTAAGTGGTCTTGGATGGCTAGTTTTTTCGAACCATTAGATTTTTTACCTTGGCGGTGTTTATTTCCTTTTTAAACCGAATTTGAATCGCTCCTATCGACAATGACGTGATTTTTTCGCTATCACTTACTTTTTTTGGATAAAGTCGCTATCACTTACTAATATGGTTTTTGAGATAGATAATAAGGATTTAATAAAGTTGATAAAATTTTCTGAGAATGGATATTCTTTTACTTACGAGCTTAAAGATTTCAGGACTCTAAAGCTCTATTTCCCCTTTTTTGTTGGTTTTTGTTCTACTTTATATGCGCATGTGGTTCTTTGTTTTTTCATGTAAATTTATCAAAATTCAGCATTGAAAATATAATACTAAAATGACATTTATTACGAAACGAAATTTAAATTCTAAAACAACATTTAATATGAAACAAAAAGAATACTAAGTTAATGTTTTCTTTTATAATTTAGAAAATTTCATATTACTTATTTTAATTAAAATTCATAACTATTCACTTAATTCACTATATAATTAAATAATACCTTTACTAGTTTGTTATAATGTCACATTTTTATAAATCATATTTTTTTAAAGAAAAATAACCTAGTATCATGCCTATATAAAATACAATTTTAATATTTATTTTGTCTCTTGATTTCTAATTCCCTAATAACTATTTCCTATTTTCTTTTTCTTCTTATCGCATTTAAAAAAAAAAATGTTAAAGATGTCAATAAAGACGATTAACAATTAGCTTATCATCATTTATTTTTATTCTTTTAATGCGAAAAAAGGGCAAGAAGTGAATCTGGTCTCTCAGCTTTTAATATCAGAACTCTCGATTACTTCCTATATCCGCTTTTCTTCTTCTTCTTCCGTCTTTCGTTTTCTCGCGACTCTCTAGGGTTAGGGTTTGTTGAATTTCACGCGTTATTCTTCTTCGTCTTCTACAATTCGCGACTAGAGAAGTTAATTCCATTGAAGGTAAGGTAAAGTATCTATCTTTTTTGTTGCCCTTGTTCGATTACTGTCTTCGATTCTCGTCTATTTCCTTATTCTCTCGATTTGGGTTTTCTTTTTTGTCCACCGTCAAGTGAATTTCTCAACGAAATTTTCAATCTTTCGGTTAATTTCTCCAGAAACCCTTTGGATCTGTTTTTTTCCTCCCCAATTACTAAATTTCTAGGTATAGTTTCGTATTTTGAGCAAAATTTGGGATTTTGATCGAATGTATCTGATGGGCGTTGCCTAATCAAGTTGTTCCGATAAGTTCGATTCCATGATTTGCAATTCGTAAAGATTCATCGTTTGCATGATTCATGTTCATAGCTTGTAGAAGATTTATCCCCTTTGACTCTCGTTTTAGACTATGTGGTTATGTTTCTTTGAAGCCATGTCACTATTTACGAATCAGTCTCTTCCCCTTTGCGCCCTTCTGTATATCTGTTTGAAGTCTCAGTTGATTCCTGTTCTTAGAGTTTTCTAAATGCTTATAAGATTATCTGTTTAATGCAATTATAAAGATCATAACTTTGTTTTCTGGGGAATCTATCTGGTTTTTTTGATGATCTCTTTATATGTGTCCTTTCTTGTGTTGAGTTTCAGGCTTGTTGCTATTGTAAAGTGATGCACATTTTGGTTCTGCTTTTGTTAGGTTGGGATAGTTTTTGGTTTTAGAAGATACTAATGGCTGGAGTACTAGCTGGGGAATGTTCTTACAGTGAGAGTGGAGTTTCATCACACTCGAGGAATTCTCATGAGAAGCAAGAAGAGGTTTCCCGCTGGTATTTTGGAAGAAAAGAAATAGAAGAGAATTCACCGTCAAGGTTGGATGGTATTGACTTAAAGAAAGAAACTTACCTCCGCAAATCCTACTGTACGTTTTTGCAGGACTTGGGCATGAGATTGAAAGTGTAAGTTCTTTTTTCACCTCATTTAGATTTTAGATTCCCTTCTGTGCATTTTTCTTGTAATTGCTTCAAGTTAGCTTGGTCTTTCTTGACATTATAGTTAGTCCAACCCGTCCCATCATCATTGTGGACAGATAGTAGTTACCCCTTTACATATAGGTTTCGTATAATTGGAATTTGATGTGCTGCTGATGGTTTTAGGCATACCTTTGTACTGATATTAGTTCTAGCATGTTTCAACTGAAAGTCGTAAAAGTTGTGTTAATTTCTTTCTTTAACATGAATACAAGGAAGAGAAGGTTATTAGTGGTGAAGACATTACTGCCATACAGTCTGAGTTTTTCTCCTTGTAGTCATGTTTCTGCATTGTTTCAAAGCTTTGAATTTTTGCTTCTCTTGGAAAGTGGCTGATATAGTTTTCCAACCAGTCCCCAGGTTACAATAGCTACAGCGATAATCTTCTGTCATCGATTCTTCTTTCGCCAATCACATGCAAAGAATGACAGAAGGGTGAGTTTATTGTTTTACACCTGAACAAGTTGAATGCTTTAAAAAAATATGAATTTAGTCTGTGTTGTTTGAACCACTATGCTGTAGTCTGGCTAGCGTAGAATTCAAGGTATCGAAATGTCTTGGCTCCTTGTTATTCTTTTATATACTTTGCCTCCATCTCCTTGCCATTTTTCTTGGTAGTTCTAGAGAGCTCAATACTCTATTTTCACTGATAGTTTTGCTGTCAATTTGATATAGGTTTTTCTTTTTACTTATTCTACATATGATTAATGAGTTGTGATTGTTGGTACTGATTTATTCTTCTAGAGCGGAGAAAATACTTAGATCTTTACTGAGCCCTCTCTTCATGGTGTTTCCACAGACTATTGCAACTGTATGCATGTTCCTTGCTGGAAAGGTAGAGGAAACTCCACGGCCCTTGAAAGACGTTATTTTTGTCTCCTATGAGATAATAAACAAGAAGGATCCTGGTGCTTCACAGAAAATCAAGCAAAAGGTATTCATCTTTACTGAAGCTTCTCAAATCTCTTGCCTCCGTTTAGCTATTTATAAATGAATGTATAGTCTTTTCCCCATATCTTCTATTTTATTTGACATTGAGGTTTTATTATAAGCTAAAGACTTTGCTTCTATGTTTTGTAGAACCATGATCCTTTGGTCCTGATTTATTTTCTGTTGCTCAGCATGTCAAAATGCATACTGACGTATATCACTTTTGCAGGAAGTATATGAGCAACAAAAAGAGCTTATATTAAATGGAGAAAAAATTGTTCTTTCTACTTTGGGCTTTGACCTCAATGTTCATCATCCTTATAAACCCCTTGTAGAAGCTATAAAGAAATTTAAGGTTGCACAGAATGCTCTCGCCCAAGTTGCATGGAATTTTGTTAATGATGGGTACGTTCAAGAACTATTTCTTTCTAAAGCTTCCAATAATTCTATGTGCCTTGTATTTTCGTCTTCATACAATGAAAAGTGGCTTGCAGTCTTCGGACATCACTCTGCCTGCAATTTAAGCCTCATCATATTGCGGCTGGTGCAATATTTCTTGCGGCCAAGTTCCTTAAAGTGAAGTTACCTTCAGATGGGGAGAAGGTTTGGTGGCAAGAATTTGACGTCACACCCCGACAATTGGAGGGTATGTACATGATGAAATTGATTTGACAACTCTTGTATCCTTGATTGACTTTAATTCCTTTTTGGATATGATTTCAAGAGCCAATCCCTTTTGTATGTCTCAGATGTTAGCAACCAAATGCTTGAGCTTTATGAGCAAAACCGTGTCCCTGCATCTCAAGGAAGCGAAGTCGAAAGTAGTGTAGGTGGAGGGTCAGCTCAGCGGCCAGGCTCCAGAAATGCAGTTTCAACCGATGAGCATGTTGGTTCTAGGCAAACATCAGTACGTTCAACCCATGAAAATTCAAATTCTGATAATCATTCATCGAAAGGAGTATTGAATCAGAACAATGAAAATGGGGCTGGTGAGGCAGCTAATGTCAGTGTCGATCACAAAGAGGAGATAGAGAGAGAAACAAAAGAAAGCAGCCTACATCCTGAAAGTCATCCACCCCATAAGGACAATGTAAGAGAAGCCCCCCATAACTCTAGACCTTTAGTTGAGGGACCTGCGAAAGACAACTCAGAAAGAGAGGGTGGAGAGATTCAAGATGATGGTGCTGTTCATAAATCTAGAAATGTTGATGTGGGTGATGCCCCAATCAGCCAATCGCCAAAAGACTTAAAATTGCTTCGAGATAAGGTGAAGGCTAAACGAGAGAAAGCTAAGAAGTTACTAGGTGAAAGGACAAGGAAAAAGGATTTGATGGATGAGGATGATTTGATTGAAAGAGAATTGGAAGATGTGGAACTAGCTGTTGAGGATGAAAAGACGAAGGAAAGGAAAGTAGAGAGCAGGCCAAAAGCCGAGAACTCTGATCTCATGGGTACAGAACATGGTGAGATTCTAGATGTTAAAGGAGAAGTCAAAAATACAGAGGAAGGCGAAATGGTAAACGATGTGTCCCCAATGATGCATAGCAGAAAGAGAAAAATGGGAAGCCCTCCTGAAAAGCAGTCAGAAGGAAAGAGACGCCACAATAGTGAGAATGGTGAAGAAGGCCACCACAACAAGACGAGCAGAGGTAGTAGCCATCATGGTGATAGAGAGCACAGAAGACACTCACAAGAGAATAACCATTCATAAGAAGAGGTAATGATTATTAAAACTGCTACTCTTTATATTCCATCTTATGGTCTTTTTAATAAAGACCTTTGGCACTTTGATGCCCCAACCATGTGAACTTGACTTCTACATGGGTCGGTTCAGTCGTTGGAACCAATGCTCAGTGTATTTTATGTTGATTATATATCTCTCTATTTGTGGCATTTTTGCACAATCCAACGGCTTGAACGAGGACTCATCATTCTAAAAGGATGTTGAGAAGCCTAATTAGGTTTTCTTTCCAATAAACTACTCCATGCTAGGGAATTTAAAGTATGCATTATCACCTGCTTTTTTTTTTATTATTCTCCGCTAGGCAAATTCATACATCCAATTTTTTTTATTTTTTTTTTGTGAGCAATTCTCAATTTTCATATTTCATTTGATTCTGCTAGGCAACCTCATACTTTTTTTTTTTGTGTGAGCAATTTTCATATTTCATTTGTTTCCGGTAGGCAACTTCATACTAAAAATATTTTTTTATTTTATTTTTGTGTGCGTGCAAGTTTCATACTTTCATAAGCTTCCATTTTCTGGTATACATCTCATTCGGAAAAAAGTTTCCTCTACTATGTTAGTAAGATTAGAGTCGGGTCATAGGAACTAGGAAGTATAGATTATGGACAATCACTCGATAACTTGGTTGGTACAGTACATTGTTCAACTGTACATTTTTTTATGGCTTCTCCTGAATTTTGTTATTACAATCTTCTCCTAAGTTGTATTGGATGTAAAAAATAAACCTTTGTATGGTATTAAAGTGAATTATGTACTTCAATTCAGATTTTTTAATATATATATATATAAATTTGTTCTTGAATGAATTATGTATTATTTATACTTTTATACCCATCTCAGAAGTTTCATATAATTCAAAAGCAAGCGAGTTCATTAACGGGTAATTAATTGGTAAAGAAACATAATTCGTTAAACAATCAAAAAGAGAAGAAGATAAGAAGTCATCACCACAAAACTCAAAAAGTTGAAATCTTTACTTATGGACCCAAATTTTACTGTATCTAGAGAGAGACAAACGTTTAAAGTTGTCTCCTTTACATATTTTTGGTATGAATCAGCAGAAAATAAAAAACCAGAGAACGTAAAAGTAGCCATGGAAATCGCTTCTTGTTCGATTCTTAACAATCTTCAACTTTCTTGTACAAAGACTTCTCTTTTCACTCGCTATTCGAGCGAGCAATCGTCACACGACACTGGAAGACGCAATTTTCTGCCTTTTTCAAATTTCCTTGGAAAATCCCAGATTCTTGGAAAATGCTTGCGATTGCAGAGATTCTCTTCGATTTGCTTATCAGCGAGCAGAGAAGACGTAAACCCATCCGAAGAACTCGCTGTGATACTTGAAGTTGATGGGTAAGTTCCGATTCAGAAAAAGCTTCATACTTTCTGATTTTGAAGCAAAGTTCTTGGTTTTTTGATTCAGTGATGGTTAACTTTTGATTTTGTTTTCAGGGTTATGATTGATACATGGTCAAGTAATCGCCAAGCGTTCAATGTAGGTGCGGCTTTTAAAATCACCCATTTTGTGCTCAGTGATTATTTTTCTTCTCGTTTCTCATGTTGTTGCTTCTTATTGTGAATACCAGCTTTTCAAAAGCTTGGACTTGATTGTGCAAATTGGCCTGAACCAGTTTATTCAGACCTGTTAAGGTACAATATCTAAGTTTGTGACTTGTGTTTTGCGGTTGGCTTTTTCTTCATTGAAGTTTACTTTGAAATACTTAAGAATTGATTCTTTTGTTGCAATTGGTTTATAATTCATCTATCTGTGACCTTGAAGAATCTATTTGTTTTCAATCATCTCCATTTCCATCTCTTAGATTCTGTTTCTAGGGTTTAAAAAGGTCTAATACTTATACTAGTCTATTAGATACTAAGTTGGTAATTTTGTTCCATTCAAACTGTTTATGTTTCCGCTCATAATCAACGGCTATTTCCCTTCGATTACCCTTGATATGATTAGACGATTAGATGAGTTCATTTTACAATTGCATTTCGTTGTCTGAAAGTGTTTAGTTGATTTTACCAGAAAGGGTGCTGCCGATGAAGAGAAAATGTTGCTTTTGTATTTCAACCAGGTAAGTTATCAATTTTTTGCGTAAACATCATTACCGAAATGCGCCCACGCAGTTATCAAAATCTGACAGCTTCCTTTGTACTCGCTTGTTTATCTACCTCTTTTCAGATTGGTTGGCCATCGTCCTTGCCAACCAGTGAGAAAGCAAGTTTTGTAAAAAGTGTATTGCGAGAAAAGGTTGCATGCATACTTGAAAATGATTTTTTTTCAGCTAACTATATTCTCTTGGAAGTTAAGGTTTGATAACTCCATCAATTGGTTAACTCCAGCTTGTTTGTTGTCAGAAAAATGCAATGGATGAGTTTCTGAGGTCGAAAAGCTTACCTCTGAGATCTGGAGTGCAAGAGTGAGTCTCGTAGATATCTCTTTCAAACTGAAGCAAAGAACTTTAGATTTTTTTCTTGTACTTGTAAGTTGTAAATTCAAATTTTTTTTACCTTATTGAGCTGTAGGTTTATCGATAATGCATACACAGAGAGAGTACCTGTTGCTATCGTAACAGCCTACTGCAAGAGTGGAGACAAAGTAGCCCTGTAAGTAGTTAAGCTCCTAAAGAATATTCTTTCTGCAATTTAATAAAAATGATTGTCCTATTCCTATACATATCATGTCTTTAGTTTTGGTTGCTGAAAGATGCACAAATGCCAGTTCTCCTGGAGATCGCTAGGGTTCACATGCATATGATTTTGATACAGTCCGTGATATTCTCAAAGGTTTCATTTGTTGGAAACAACAGTAGCTCTAGTGCTTTAAAATCTTGAGGTTTCATATTGTTTTCTTTTTGTGATCGTATAATCTCACATATTAGAAAGACCAACAAATGCAAGGTGAAAAGTAGTACTGGTGAGGAAACTCTACAAAACAATCCATTAGCATAAACAAAATCCTACGTTAGATTTTTTTTTCTGTTATTTCTAAACAAGCTTTTGATTGTCTCTTATCTTTTTTTTTTTGAATAAATATTATTTAACAGATCCATTGTCGAGATGCTTGGCCAAGAAAGACTTCCAAATGTGAAGGTTATCGGAGAAAATGAGGTAGAACAGAGTATGTATGGACAACTTGTTCTTGGCAAAGGAGTTTCTAAAAGTCTAGAGGAGCAACTAGTGAAGGAAGTCAAAAAAGCCGGTATAGAGCTCGGAGACAATTTGCAAATCCTTTTCTCTATCTAAGATCTTCCCTTGTAACTATAGTAAATTTCTCCTCTTGATTTTTGTCTGACTAGCATCCGCCGAGAAACAGAGGATAGCAGAAGAAGTTGCATCAATGCTAAAGCTAAGTGTTGACATTGACACAACCTCATCTGAGAGGTGGGACTTTCTGTTCTTCTCTACAAAAACTCCAATTCCATACATAGACAAGAAAGTGATGTCTTCTCATTTTCTGTTTTATTATCTCCAGATTGGAAAAGATTGTTGTTGCATTGCGTGCTGCTGCGGAACACATAGGATTACCTGTAAAAAACTGTGTACTTGTTGCTGGTAGTCAACCTGGAGTTTCTGCTGCAAAGATGATAGGCATGCCGTGTGTAGTCATGCGAAGCAGGTATGATATTCGGTTTCTGATGTATCTTTTTGGAACTTTTTTTACGTACTCTACAGAACTAAAGCCTGAAAAGTGCCTGTGGAGCATTGTTCATTTGCTCGTTTGATTTACCATTCTTTTTGCTTGAAGTTTAACTGCAAGAGGTGAGTTCCCATCGGCGAAAGGTGTAATGGATGGGTTTGGAGGTGCAGACCTGACAATCCCAAAACTTAGGCACAAGATCAAGTCTTGAAGAAACAAATCAAGAAAGTTGTCTAAAAATCAGAATCTGGAAATACTGTCGAGTTATTTGCTCACTTCTCGAAGTTTTTGTGAATTTTCCAACTTGATATATGTAACTATAGCTACATGTTGTACAACTTGACTCTTTGGAATGAACTGGTGTGGTTAGTTTTCAAACATCAACAAACCTTGACTCAATACTTATGTCCAACGATCTGCATTTTTTTTTGGTCCAATGAGTTCAAGCCTTCAACTTCTAGGAAGCATAATTTGGTTCTTTGGAAAGCTTATCCAAGAATCAAATAACTTGAGCTACTTATTTATTCAAGGTTATATTCAAAATGATATATTATTATTTCGTTTTCAAGTCAAGACACTACCTATATATATATAACTATAGTACGATTTTCTTGGAGAACATTGTCAGAACCAACATGACTTCTAGTTGGTTTACAGTTGAGTGATCTCTGATTCTTGTACATTGTTGGTGTTTCGTCTCCGAACCAGTGCTGGGCCTGGGCTCGAGTATTCTGCATCATCATCAGCAGATGATATGTTTGATGCGACAGATTCAGATATTGTGCTTGAGATGGAGTGTGATGGAGATTGCTGTCTGTAGCTTTGGGAAGCTGAGTATTCTGGTACTTCCTGAGTTGTTTTTCCTTGCGCTTCTTCCGCAAGCTTTCTTAGAAGATTCATAACAGTTGGAAGGAACTTTGACGTGATGGAGAGTACCCCAGCAACCTAACAGATGCAGGAAACATGGTGTTAAGATAATTTCTCCTAAAAATAATTGTGTTTGGAACAATGGAAGCTTAGCAAGAGCTTACTGCGCCGTGTTGAAATTCCCTCGGAATGTCAAGCTGCACCCATAAGGCTTTGGAGAGTAAAAACGCCACGAAGAAACCCAAGAGGTACAAAGGATTCCTGTTCCAATAAGATGATGAAACATGCCAATGAATCTAAATAGCTGAAACACTTAGGAAGAATCTTTGAATGAATAGTAAAGGAGTGCAAGGAAATTGATATTACTTCAAAAGCATCATGAATTCATTGAAACCAAGGACAATCATCAACACAATTGCCCAAGCCGGTGGAAGCCAGTTATTATTTCGCTTGTGAGCCTCCTGAAGAGTAAAAATGTAAACATACCATTGACTCAATTATAATTCTAACACACAAACTACAAGGTTAATTTGAAAAATCACCTGTGCCGAAATAGCTTGGGTTACAGAATACTCTGTCTCAGATTTAAACTGTCTCCACAGTGACTTACACTGTACTGGCGTCAGTAACACGTTTTTTGGAGGAACCTGCACACACAAAAACCATAGCATTGGTAATTCATTTGACTAGACTGGAAGTGGCATCGGTATTGGCATCTAATGAGCCAAATATGTCCTAATTATGGCGGAATGAATAAAAGAATTTCTGGTAAAGTGGAATAATTTGGATAACTTTGCATTCCATTTAGTGTGATGTCCCAATAACAGTCACACTTATCAACCAGATTATACAAGAGACCACTTGACTAGACTGTTTACCTCTTCCCATGAGCTAGATGCAAGTGGATCCGTGGAAGTTCCTAAGCTTCTGTTGTGGGAAGATGAGACTGATACAGTTCCATCCATGAGAGAAGAGAAAAGAGTACTCTCAATATTGTCGGGTCTTTCATCCAAACGTATTGCAGCCATCACAGATAAAAGACTTAAAGCCTGCAGGATAGCAACAGATAGAGTGAGTTGACAACACTAAGCTCCGTTCGCCATTATTCTAAGAAGTTACCTCTGCTCGAGCATCTTTTGTGATTGCTCTAATATCCTCTTTTCCAGTCCAGACCCGTGGCATTGAGTCTTTGTCATGACTGAAGACTGTTGAGAACCTGAAATGTGTTTAAAATAATATCAAGCAGAGGAAACTGAAAAAGAGGCTAATATTAGGAGTGTACTCTGATCTTTTTCCTTACCTATCTTTCATTCGGATTAAAATTTTAGCAGCTTCTTCTCTTGCTTTTTTCTCCACTAAACTCTGAGAATAGTCCTTTAGATTCTGAACCATAGCATCAATTTTATCGTGATCGAGCTCAAAACCAGTAACCACATCTAGAAAATCTGTAACAGCTGTTTCAGTCTCGCGTTTGAGAAGCTTCCTTATGGAAGGCCACGTCTCTTTTCCACCAGCTTCGAACAAAGACTCAACAGGTTCACTAAGTGCTTGAGTTAGCCGTTTCTGTGAACCATCATGAATCAAAACATATTTTAATACAGGCCCTAAAAAGCTAAGAAATCGTAAGAATAGAAAAACCAAAACAGAACCTCGTAGTTGGCAGTTAATTCAGATAGTTTAGCAGTCCGAGCAGAAGATGTGTGAGCATCAATGTCACGACAAAGTTTCTCTCTGATTTTTGATGCATCCCAAGTCGCTTGTTTAACCTTAGCATCTGAAGAGACGAATTTATAAACGGAGGTATTCTTGTGTAAATGTTGTGTAGTTTTTGGCCAAAACAATTTGTTTCTCAAAAGGGGAATCTACTTTTGAAGCAACAAACTGAAATAGAAACTCTCACCTTCACATCCTTTGTCAAAAACAATCAGACAATACTGTTGGGAGTCCCGCACAGCTTTTGCGAATCCTTCTCCTTGATTTAGAGACTGTTCCAGTTGGATCTTAAAGGATTCCAGTGCATTGGACCGTAGATGTCCCAGCATGGTAGCATAAGCAGTGTGCACGAACTGGAAATTTAGAGAAAATTTGAAAATAAGAGACGCAATAATCATAAGTAACCAGATCCAGAGTCAACACTATTTAATGCAAACCCACAGACAGAAGAAGTCTTACATCCAAAGCTTTAAGTTTCAGCTGTAGACGCTTCTCTTTTCTTACTCCTTCATCGAAGTATATTGCCTCTGCATCATATCTAAGAAGGGGTAGGCGAAACAAGATTACGCAAAATTACTTTGCTTGGAAATTAAAGACCTTAGGAATAAAAAAAGAGGGCTTACTCTGAGAAGTATTTTTCAAGGATAGAGCTAAGCTTTTTGCCAAAACCAGGAACTAGACCACCTTCTACGGCTTCATGCAACTCCAACCAACTCTACATATTTTATACCCCATTATATCTCACAAAACATTTGAATCAACAAGAAAAATTGAAGGAGGTAAAGGAGGCCACAGAAGCAAACCTCATTGGTTGCCAAGTCGCGTAGCTTCTCATTGGCTATCTCTTCACAACGAACAGTGGCAACCATTACCTTGCAAGCATAAAACAAAACAACTTTAGGTCACAAGATAGGTCACAAGGTTTAACAACATAAATTTTAATGAATAGAAGACCTTGTGAGCAGGAAGGTCCAAGTCTCTATTCTCTTTTATAACTTTCCAAATCTGCTGGGAGCTGAAAGAAAATCCTGAAGCAGGAACTACACCACGTCTATCACCAGCAAGTCCCCCAGGTGAAATGGAATGGAAAAACCTCTGCCTCAACTCAGCAACCTATTTAGAAGTTTGCATAAGTCAAGGGAATTGGTCTTCGATTTACTTTGATGCTTCAAAAGAAAAGTGTTTTACATATCAGAAGAATACCTCTTGCTTAAACTGTTTTTCTTTCTCTTCATAGCTGGATAATGCAACAATCATTACCTACAAGCATATATAGCGAATTATCAAATAAGGAAAAGATAGACAGGTCTATCATGAACAATTTAGTAAGAATACAGCGCTAATCAGATTGAAACATCATAAGAAGCATCATCTATGTTGGAAGAAGATCTCCTTACATTGAAGAATTCATTTAGAGGTGTATTTTTGTGTGCTTCAGGCTTGCGAACTAGATCCCATATCTGCAAAAAACCATAACCATAACCCAAACTTCAGAGAGGAAAAAACCATTAGAAATAAAAGGAAATTAAGAGAGACTGCATGCTACCTTCTGAATATCTTCTCTTAGAGCACGTTCAAGCAGCTCTATCGGAGTCTAAGAACAAAAGCAGTCAATATAAGAAATATGAAATATGATTTCACCAACAAGAATAATATTCAATTGCAAATCCAAACCTTTGTTTTATCACGTATGACAAAAAGAAGAGTTGTTTTTCGAGGGCTAAACAAGCGCAGCATGACCTACAAAAGCAATAATGACCAATTTATCAAACCTTTAGGTTGCACATAACGTTCCATATGTAAGCACATCATGATACCTGGAAAACTGTCTTTAGTAATGGTTTGTTGGCAGCCTGTTCCCTTCCAATGTCATGGCACCACCTGTGGAGTTCATTATCTCATTAAAAATCTACCAAGAAAAAGTGTCTAAAATTTACATCATGCTTGTGTTGGTAGTTCTTTAATCATTTATGCGAATTCAAATCTAACATAGTACTTAAGATTCATAAAAGATATAAAACATAAAACTATCGAATGATAAATTGGCTTTATATCTATCACCTTCTAACACTGGCTTAACTTTGTGCTCAATATTAAAAATACATCAGTAATAGTTATCAAAAGAAGAGCCAAGAAAATATACTCACATGTTTATAAGTACAATATCGGCAACAGCGATAGCAAACAGGGCACTTTGTTTCTCAAATGTAGTGTCATCCTAAAAATCACGGGAGCCGTTGACAAAAAGAATAACAAGAGAAATGCTAGAAACACATCAGAAAATCAAAAGTATCAAGTATATGTCTAAGTACTCTGCAGGATATAAGTATCCAAATATATTCGAAATTTCAGAAAATTTTCTTAGCAAGTCAGCCAAAACCATATTCCTTGGTACTCCTAAATGTGTAGCAGTATATATTGCTAACTGGGTTATTCAGTCATCTTACCTCGCCTCTTTCTCTCCCATCAGTACCCTCCAAATCCATAGCAATTGTGAAAGGCTCAATACCAACACACGTAGCCATCCAAATACCTTTAGTTGTTTGACTCCTGCAAAGAAAATGAAGACAAATTTACCAAGTCAACCCAATTTCAACCCTAAAAATGGCATAGCCACAAAAAGATAAAAAACAATATTTGGAAATTAACAATCACTAACCTTCCCGCAAAAGCATCCATTTCCCTAAAACTGGTCTTAAACAAATGATTCAAAAGTGTACTCTTCCCTGAAATGACATACAACAGCAAGTCAAAGACTTTGCAAATGTCTCAAGCTGAAGTCCAAAAGTATAAAATCTAGTAACTTTGAGAAATTCAGATACCCAGATTCCGAAATCAACAAAAAACAGTAACTTTGATTAGAATTAAGAAGTTCGAATCAAAGAAGAACAAAAGCAAAGTGGTAATATCATACCACTACTTTGAGGACCCATGATAGCAACAACAGCATAAGAAAGACCACAATCAGAAAGCTTCGTCTTTTTCACGAAATTATCCAAACCCTTAACGTTAAATTCACCATTCCCATCGATTAGCTGAGTCGAGCAACCATCATCGTTTTCCCCCATGTCTATGTAACGAAATTCGACTTCGAACGGATCTACAAAACCCCAAAAACGTTATAAAAATCGAAACTTTCGAATGTTGTTGCGAAGCTTTTACACATGCATCAGCAAGTAAGAACGAAACTACTTTGGGAATTTTCTCTTTTTCCTTACCGATTTTTTAGGTCAGTTATTAAATTCGGTGTGTTCTTCAGTGTTGCAGCCGAAGATTGAGAAGCAGAGATTGAGAACGAAGAAGAAGAAGAGAACCGCCTAAATAGCAGCGAGAAATATACGAAGCTTGTTTCTGTATCTTTGCTTTTTTCTTATGAAGAAATGATATAATACTTTTTTTAAAGATTGTTTTTTTTTTTCTTTGGCTCTTTCTAGGAGATTAGTAGATTACATATCATTTTCATTTTTTCCTGATATTTATATATCTAAAAAATAATATTAAATTTTATTAATAATTATTTATTGGGCGCACAATTATCAATAAATCTAATAATTATTTTCTAGGTAAATATCTAATGAGAAGAACCAATATATAATAGATTGTGCAATGTGAAGTAGACACAGATGATAACAATGTGAATGGAAGAACTATTATATAATTCTAGAGACTTTCTCTCATTGCACTAAGAGATGCAATGAGCAGCAATTGTAAACTGAAAAAAGAGAACTACCAAAAAAAACTTAAATAGTCCTCCTTTTCTTTGAATGCAGATTCTTGTTTTCATCTAAACTTTCCTGCATTTGCAGACTCTTCTTCTTCTTCTCATCTAAACTTTTGGGTATTTGCAGATTACTTATGACAAGACTCATTATAGAAGATTCCAAGGCTCTTATCATGTGGTTGGCTGATGAGTTTTCTGCTTCCTTTTTCGTTGATTCTGCATCTCCCTTCATATGAAAGGTACCTTCTATACTTGGGATCTCAATCTTAACTGTGCAAACAAATTTCTGATCATTTTGTTGCCCTCTTTCTTCCTCAACACTGGAAAAAGTTAAACACAGTAACAAAAATGTTTTTAAGTTAATACGGCACATAAAGTAGTACTCACATTGATCTTACAAGTATAGTTTTTTAGAGCATATATGTGATTTTTCTACACAAGATTGTAAGAGTTTAACCACGGATTAGCGAACGCATTATCCTTTTTTGAGTTTATAAGACTCTAGACTACTCAAAGATATTAGTTTGACTTTGGATCATGCTTCTTATTAAGCAGTAAGTAGTAACTAGAAAAGAAAGAAGTAGGAAAAGAATATACCTGAAAATCGGGTTCGGCCACTTATTCTTGGCGCAAATCTCAAACAACTTTCCTTTCTCATCTTCAGGTTCAACATGTAGACTATCCTTATCAACAACCATTTGCTTTGTTGTCATTTCATAGGTTGACGGGTTCTCCGAGGCAGTGGGCAACGACGATGATCCAGTCGGTGTCTGAAGCATTCTAGTAGAGCAAATCTCAAACAACTTCCCTTTCTCATCTACAGGTTCAACATATGGACTATTCTCATCAATAACCATTTGTTCTTGTGTCAGTTCATCGGTGAAAGGGTTTTCAAAGGCGATGGGCAAAGAAGATGTTTCAGTAGAGGAAATCTCAAACGACTTCCCTTTCACATCTTCAGGTTCAACATGTGGACTAACCTCTCCAATAACCATTTTTGTTGGTGTAATTTCACAAGGTAAGGGGTTCTCAAAGACAGTTGGCGTAGAAGATGATCCAGTCTGTATTTGGAGCTCTTCAGTGTAGCGAATCTCAAACAACTTCCGTTCCACATCTAGACTATCCTCATCGATAACCATTTGTTCTTGTGTCATTTCATCGGTTAAAGGGTTCTCGGAGGCAGTGAGCAAAGAAGATGATCCAGTCTGAATTTCAGCGTCTAGATTATCTTGATGAATAATCTTTTCGATGAGCAAACATTCTGACAGCTTCTTTAACGCTTCCTCAGCAGCAAGCAGCTTTGCGGTATCAATACGTTTAGCACACCCAGAAGCAATAAATATATCATCAAGATATACATCAACAATATTTTTTCTGCTGCCGTCATATTTCGAATACCTGAAGTCGATTCGCTTCCCGTGTTTATCAGCCAAATGGAAAAGCGCAAGAATTGGTGGTTTAGGTTGCATCCATATATCATCCGGTGTATATATTGGCTCGAAAAGACCCCTGAAGATCTGCAAATTTCCTATCTTTTTAAAATAAATTGAGAAACTAGTGAAAGAAACACAAAGCTAGTGAAAGAAACATAACAAACCTCCCAGAGTCGTTGTAAATTAATTATTCACATCAATATAAACAGCTCCAGCTACAGCAACTAGAAGATTAGCAAGAATTTTTGGGGCTTTCACCACTCTGTATGGATCATCTTCTTTGTGCATCAAGTCTATGAACTCTATAATCTAAGAGATGACACAAAAAAAACTGATGAGTATATCATAAGAAGAGAGATGTTTTCAATTGACAAGAAATGAATTTTAATTTACCATTTTTTCTGGCTTTGGAACATTGCCTATAATGAATTGGTAGATGCCCTTTTTGACGGCGACACGAGCGTATCTGTCGTTACATGTATTAGCATCTCGCAGCAGAGACAAATCCTTGGGTTCGAGCTTAGGGTACGTGAGGTATAAGTGTTTCGTAAAGGCGAGAGAAAGAGCCGGCTCACCGACGAACATAAGCCGCTGGAATAAAGGTGAAGTATTGTGTGTTAGCAGTTCATTCAGAAGATTTTTGTTCACAAAACTGTAATTCAAGATCTTCTCCACTGCGTCCACTGAATCAGAATCCATCGATGGATAATTCTTCATATCTAAACTTTCCGGCATTTGCAGATTACTTATGACAAGACTCATTAGAGAAGATTCTAAGGCTCTTATCATGTGGTAAGCTGAGGAGTTTTCTGCTTGCTTTTTCTTTGGTTTTGCATCTCCCTTCATGTGAAAGGTACCTTCTATATTTGGTATCTCAATCTTAACTGAACAAACAAATTTCTGTTCATTCTTTGGCCCTCTTTCTTCCTCAACACTGGAAAAAGTACCAAAAGTGTTAAAGTTAATACCGCATATTCGTGCTTATTGAGGCGCACAAAGTAAAAAAAATAGCAATCTCACATTGATCTTACTAGTATAGCTTTTTCGAGCATATATGTGACTTCTCTACCCAAGATTGTAAGAGTTTAAACATTGATTAGCAAACACATTATCCTTCTTTGAGATTATAAGACTCTAGACTACTCAAAGATATTTGTTTGACTTTGAACCATTGTCCTTGTTAAGTAGTAAGTAGTACTTAGCAAAGAAAATTGTAGGAATAATATATACCTGAAAATCGGCCTCGGCCACTTATTCTTGGCGCAAATCTCAATTAACTTCCCTCTCCCATCTGTGGGTTCAACATGTAGACTATCCTTATCAACAACCATTTGTTTTGTAGTCATTTCATAGGTTAAAGGGTTTGCAGAGGAACCAGTCTGTATTTGGAGCTTTCTAGTATAGCAAATCTCAAACAACTTCCCTTTCACATCTTCAGGTTCAACATCTGAACTATCCTCATCAATAACCATTTCTTCTTGTGTCATTTCATCGGCTAAAGAGTTCTCAGAGGCGGTGGACAGAGAAGATGATTCAGTCTGTAATTGGAGATTTTCAGTGGAGCAAATCACAAACGACTTCCCTTTCACATCTTCAGGTTCAACATGTGGACTATCCTCATTGATAATCTTTTCAATAGGCATAATTTCCAGCTTTCGTATCGCTTCCTCAGCAGCAAACAGCTTTGCGGTATCTATACGTTTAGCACATCCAGAAGCTATAAATATATCATCAAGATATACCTCAGCAATATGTTGTTTGCTGTCGTCATCTTTCGAATACCTGAAGTCGATTCGCTTGCCGTGTTTATCAACCAAACGAAAAAGCGTAAGAAATGGTGGTTTAGGTTGCATCCGTAAATCCTCCGGTGTATATATTGGCTCCAAAAGACTCCTAAAGATCTGCAAAATTTCCTCTCTTTTTATCATATAACATAGAAATTAGAAAACACAAATCTAGTGAGGAACAAACAAACACAACAGACCTCCCAGAGTCTTTGTACATCATAATCCACATCAATAAAAACAGCTCCAGCTATTGACTCTACAATGTCAGCAAGAATCTTTGGTGCTTTCACCAATCCACCATAAGGAACTGGATCATCTTCTTTCCTCACCGCCTCTGCGAACTCTTTAACCTAAGAGATAAACACTAATTCAATGACTCAAGATAGTGACACTCTGTTTCTAGTGATTCAAGAAAATCAAGAAAGAGACCTTTTTAAGTAGAGAAGGATTCTGGAGTAAAAGGAAGTGGTGGAGATTGTGATTGACAGCGACACGAGCGAACTTCTCGTTACTTACATTAGCAGTTCGTAAGTCACGCAACTCCTTGACTTTGAGGTTAGGGTAAGTTTGGCGGATGTAATTAGTGAAGGCGACCTCAAGAACAGAGTCACCGAAGAACTCAAGCCGGTCGAATAAAGGAGATTTTTGCGTTATTGCTTCTTTGAGAAGAGTCTTGTTCGTGAAACTGTAGTTCAAGATCTTCTCTACTGCTTCTACTGAGTCCATCTCCGGTGGAAAAGGTGAATTTAGCAGGTCACACAAGCAGGACCAGTCCTAAATATGCGGTGAAATCTTATTATATAAACCCTTAACTTCGTTTTTGAGATTTTAAACCCCTGACCTTTATTAAAAACATGAATTTTAAACCCTTAACTTTATTTTGGAGATTTTAAAACCCTGACCCTATAATTTTTTTTTTCTTCCATAGACATGGGTGCTCCGAGCTTTTACAAGCCGACTAATCCCTAAGGGTGAGTGTAGCCGTCGAGTATGTCACTCATCAGGTTTTCTAATGAGAAGCATGATACCATTTTGGCAAGCCAAATTGAGTGATTTAATAAATTTCGTGTTTGAGAGGAATCAATCTCTAACCGTATAATGACAACCAAGTATAAATTTCCCGATTGTGCATTTTTTTTTCTAAATCATCTGAGCTTTCAATTAACTCACTCATGTATGAGATTTTTGTTCGATCTTAGGCTTCGTTTATTCAAAGATAATAGTAGAAATTATATCCAAACTAAAGTTTATTATGTATGGTTTAGTTTCAGTTTCGGTTCGGATTCGAGTTTTAGTCAAATCTATATATACATTTTAAGTACATTTTAGAGAGAACCCTTTTGTTTTCTAGACTATTTACGAAAAATGCCATTTCTTATATTCATCTATCTAAACAATCTTACACTTAGTTCCCTACTATCCATATAACCAAACACATTAAAAAGATTTTAATATTAATTATCAAATTAGAAATATCCATATAGTGATCCAAAATTAATTATATAGGTATTTTGAAGATTTTGTTAAGATTTAAATTTTTTGATTCTCCTATTATTTTTTTATTTTGTTTTATAATTGTTTTGAATCATTATATAATACATAAAATTGATAAAAATCATTTTTTGTATATATTGTGATTTAAATTTTTTAAAACGGACATATATTACTCAACTAATGAAAAAGTGTGTGTTCAACGTCCCACATCAACTAAAATGTTTAGATAATGATTTAGAGTCATATTATAAATAAGATCAGTGAATCCAAATCCGAATGAGCAGGAAACGAGGAAGCTTAACTTAACAAACATCCAAATTAAAAAAGTTTGTATACGGTTTAAATCGTTTTTTTAGTTGAACTCTTTACCGAATATAATAAATTTTTAAAATTTTATACTATATTATGAATTAATATTTAAACATACAAAAATTTTATAATAACATGGGACGGTTATACTGCGGGACATGTTATAAGGCGTGACAAGTTTGAATCGACATTAATCCAAATTTAAAATATCATTAACTCGAAGTTTCAATACGGATTACCTCCTCATTTTATTATTTTGATAATACCACTAATATTGGACATGTCGAATGAGATTGATTTGATTAAAATTATGTCAAACAAAAATGGTCCCATGGTACACCACGGGATATATCATAGTGTATCATTAATTTTCAAACAAACATCGGTTTAGACCAGTTTTCTTAGTACTAAGCTTTGCCCTTTTGACATGATTTTTTGTAGTCAGTCTAGCTTAGTGCTAAGCTTTATTTGTCTTGTGGCCTATACTAATGTCTTGTAAGTTGTTACACCTTTGATTAATATAACAACCAGATGAAAGAAATTAAAAAGATCAGTTTTCTTATTTTTTTTCCTGATTATTCGGTTTCGGTTTTTTTAGATATATAAAAAACGAATCTATTTAAACCATTTTGAAATGGTTTGGTTTCCACTTTTCAGATTTGAGTATTTCGGTTTGGTCAGATCAGTTTATCCGGATTGAACCCCTTACCAGGCTACCCAAAAAAACAAAATTGCCTGAAACTAGACCGAGCCTCTTCTTCTCTGTTCACAGATCAAACACTAAATAAGACGATAAATAAGATATATTTTTTGAATGATTCAAAACAGCGACAAATAATGTTATCTATAAGCTAATGGTGGCTCAAAAACACATATCTAACATTACAAATTATCCTTAAGAGAAAATTCCAAGGCTCTTAACAAGTGGGAGGCTGAGGAGTTTCTGCTGTCTTTCTCAGTTTTCTTCTATCTCCCTTAACGTATAAAGTACCTTCTTCAGTTGGAGTCTCAATCTTAGCTGAACAAACATATCCCTTAGATTTTCCGTTACTCTCAACACTAAACACAGTAAAACAAATTGGTTATCAGCGGATGCGTGCTTATTGAGGCACATACAGTAAAAACATATAAGCATTTTCTCTACCATTAGATTGTAAAATGACGGATTCGCAAATGCGTTCTGCGTAAAGATAGAATCAATTTTGACTTGAACTTTTGGCTAAAGCAAAGCAAAACTAAGATATATATGTACCTGTAAACTGGGTTCGGCCACTTTCGCTTGTTGCAAATCTCAGTCATCTTGTCTTTTGCATCTTCATTTCAATGTCTTGTCTATCCATAACTATTTCAACGGGCATACTTTCCGACAACTTTCGTTTGCCATGTTTTTCACCCAAACAAAAAAGGGTACGAATTGGTTGAGGTCGCAGCCGCAAATCATCCAATGTATATATTGGCTCGAAAAGACCCCTGAAGCTCTGCAAGTTTGCTTATTTTTCTTAATAACTTGAGAATCATATAACGTCGAATTAGAAACACAAATCTAGTGGAGTACACAACATACCTCCCACAGTCTTTTAACATCAAAATTCATATCAATATAAACAGCTCCAGCTACAGACTCTACAAGCTCAGAGAGTACAATTGTGGCTCTCTCCGATTTGCCATACGAAGGAACTGGGTCATCCTCTTTGCCCACCACCTCTGAGAACGCTTCAATCTAAAAGATTACACCAAAAGTGTTGTTATCAATAAAGCAAAGATGATCCAATAACACCTAAAACCACAAGAAATGATTAGTAACCTTTTTCTCCGACTTGAATTGGCCTATAAAGAATTGGTGAATATTGTGTTTCACGGCAACGCGAGCCAAAGTTTTGTTACATGTATTTCCACGTTGCAGCAGTTCCAACTCCCTGGGTTCGAAATTAGGATACCTGAGGTAGATGTGATTCGTGATGGCGAGAACTAGAGCTGCCCGGCCAACGAACCTAAGCCTCTGGAATAGAGAAGAGGTTTGCCTTAGCGCTTCTTTCAGAAGATTCTTGTTCGTGAAAACGTAATTCAAGATCTTCTCCACTGCTTTCACTGAATCAGAATCCATTTCTGAGCTGACGAGAGATGGATTCTTCTTCTCATCTAAAACTTTCGGCATTTGCGGATTACTTATGACAAGACTCATTAGAGAAGATTCCAAGGCTCTTATCATGTGGTAGGCTGAGGAGTTTTCTGCTTCCTTTTTCTTTGGTTTTGCATCTCCTTTCATGTGAAAGGAACCTTCTATCTTTGGTATCATAATCTTAACTGAACAAACAAATTTCTGCTCATTTTTTGGCCCTCTTTCTTCCTCAACACTGGAAAAAGTTAAACACAGTACCAAAAGTGTTAAAGTTAATACCACATATGCGTGCTTACTGAGTCACACAAAGTAAAAAATATATATAAAAAAGTCAAACTCACATTGATCGTTAGGAGTATAGTTTTTTAGATAGCATACATGTGATTTCTCACCCTAGATTGTACGGGTTTCACTACAGATTAGCAAAGGTATTCTCCTTCTTTGACATTATAAGAGTACTCTAGATTACTCGAAGATATAAATTTGACATCGGATCACGGTCTTTGTTAAGTAGTAAGTAGTACTTAGAAAAGAAAAATTCTTGCTAAAGCAAAGAAAAATGTAGGAATAAAATATACCTGTAAATCGGGAATGGCCACTTATTCTTGACGCAAATCTTATGTAACTTCCCTTTCGGGTATCCAGGTACTTGTTTGATCTCATCGGTTAAAGGATTCTCATAGGCGGCAGGCAAAGAAAATGATTCAGTCGGTAAGCGGAGCTTTTCAATGGAACAAATATCAATTAACTTCCGTTTCGCATCTTCAAGTTCAACATGTGGACAATCCTCATCAATAACCATTTGTTCTTGCGTCATTCCATCGGTTACAGGGTTCTCAGAGGCAGTAGGCAAAGAAAATGACTGGAGTTTTTCAGTGGAGCAAATCTCAATCAACTTCCGTTTCACATTTTCAATTTCAACATCATATTCTGATAGCTTCTGTACCGCTTCCTCAGCAGCAAGCACCTTTGCGACACTCAAACTTTTAGCACACCCGGAAGCAATAAATATATCATCAAGATATACCTCAGCAATATTTTCTTTACTGTGATCATCTTTCGAATACCTGAAGTCAATTCGCTTGCTGTGTTTATCAGCCAAACGAAAAAGCGTAAGAAATGGTGGTTTAGGTTGCATCCGTAAATCATCAAGTGTATATATTGGCTCCAAAAGACCCCTGAAGATCTGCAAAAATTCCTCTCTTTTTATTAATAACATAGAAATAAGAAACACAAATGTAATGAAGAACAAACAAACACAACAGACCTCCCAGAATCTTTGTACATCAAAATCCACATCAATATAAACAGCTCCAGCTATTGACTCTACAATGTCACCAAGAACTTTTGGAGCTTTCACCAATCCACCATAAGGAACTGGACCATCTTCTTTGCTCACCGCCTCCGAGAACTCTTTAATCTAAGAGATAAAACAACTTATTGGTACAAAATGTTCTCAAATCATTCAATACAGAGATTGTGATGATTACCCTTTCAGATGGAGAAGAAAGCTTGTCGCCTATGATGAATTGGTAGAGATTGTGTTTGACGGTGGCACGAGCGAACTTCTCGTTACTTACATTAGCAGTTCGCAAGTCACACAACTCCTGGAGTTTGAGATTAGGGTATGCGTGGTGGATGTAATTAGCCAAGGCGACCTCAAGTACAGCGTCGCCGAGGAACTCAAGCCGCTTGAATAGACGAGATGATTCCACACTACTTGATGTTAGCGTTACCGCTTCCTTGAGAAGAGTCTTGTTCTTGAAACTGTAGTTCAGGATCTTCTCCACCGCTTCCACTGAATCCATATCTCCGGCGAAAGTTGAAGGCGGCGTTGAAGAGAAGAGCTTAGGTCACAGGTTCAGTCCTAAATGTCAATAAAAATTTTTAAAGGGGAATTCGGATAACGTTTTGAAAGTTTGAGGAGCAATTTGGAATGATAATGTTACATGAAGGATTAAAGCGAAATAACTAATAAATAAAAGTAGATGATCAGAGATTTTTAGAAGTAGTCATGTGTATTTGAATTGAACCAAACCAGCTCGAAGTTTTGGCCAATTTGCTTTTGTTTTTTTTTTTTTTTTTATTTTTTTTTTTTTTTATTTTTTTTTTTTATTTTTTTTTTTATTTTTGCTTTTGTTTTGAGCTGAAATCGATCGAAAAAATTAAAGTACATTTCTTTTCTCTGTTTTGGGTCGGATGCGTTAAACCGATCAGGTTCATTTTTTTTTAATTAAACAAAAAAATTTACTGAATTTTATTTTACAAACTGAAATTCTGAATTAAATGTAACCAACTTATATGAATTGAATTATCCAAATTTTACGAAAAAATAAAAAACCAGATTGATGGTTTAATTCAAACCGACAAGATTGGTTCACTTCGACATAGATAGAATCTCATGGAACCTTATCAGAACCCAAATTGTTTTTTTTTTTTTTTGTCAAGCGAACCAAATTTTATTCATCAGATTTTTTTTATCGAATCAGAAAACCCAACAAACCGAACCGACTTGATGTCGAGGCCTAGAAATTAGAAGCGAATGGAGGTTTACGAAAAGGGAATTTGGTCAAAAATGCCACTTTGACCAAAAAAACTTACAAGAAATGCCATAAAAGAAAGTTTCTTTCTGAAATTGCCATAGTTTTGGATTATTGTGGTTTGAATTGACGAAATTACCCTTACACTAAACAAGTGGGAAAATGATAGATAAAAATTGTTATCCAAATATTATTGTCTACTAAACAAATTAGTGGACAAGATTTCGAATCAATAGATTTCGAAAAAATTTGTCGGACAAGAATCGTTGTCCACATTCAATGCTACATATTTCACAAAAATTTAGTGGACAAGAATATTTAATTTCGTATCTATAGTGAAATCAACAGAATTCAAAACCATATTCCCATACAAAATTCATTTAATCAACATATTTAAAAAAAATGAGTCATTGACCTTACAAGATAGCAAATGTTGCCGAAAATTCCTAAAAAAAATATTGTCTACAATAATTTGTATACCTAAATTGATTTAACAAATTGGGCATAAAATTTAAGTTGTCCAGTGAATGTTAATTTGTCCACTAAAATTTTGAGATCGAGATCCCACAATTTAATATTGAATAGACAAAATAAATCACAAGAAAACGGCAAACAAGATGTATGAATTTATCATATTGTCTACCACAAATTTTTGTGATGATAAATGTTGTCCACAAAATTTTCAAAATAATGTCCATAAACCTGTTATAGATCTCGTGGAATCGGATCTGAATGAGATTCTGTTAGAAATGTAAAAGTCTTTGTTAGAAACGAGATTAGAGAGTGGAACCTCCGAAAAAAAGACGTGTTTGGTAACTCGCCGGAGAAATCATTGAAAGCAGTTGTTGAAACTGGCTAAAACGATTAAGTTTTTGGTGAGTTAGTTGTGAAAGATGTTGAGTACTCCATGATTTTTTTCAAATCATAGAATCTCGAAAGACTTTTTTTGTTGTCGTTGGAGAGAGAGAGGAAAGAAGACGAGAGAGAGAGAACAAAGAAAAAAAATGAGGGGAAAAAAAAAAAAGAATGTGGCTTTTAGTGAAGGGTAGTTAAGTCTTTTTAGGTGGTGGTATGGCATCTCAGAAAAGAAGAAAGTCAAAGTGGCATTTCAAATAAGTTTTTATAAAGTGTGTGGCATTATTCTTAGTTTTCTCTTACGAAAAAGGCAAATATTTATAAACTTCGAAGTTTGGGTAACAAAGCAAAACATAAAAGGATATTAGGGACTACTAAAGTGAAAATATATATCAAACGCAAACGCAAACGCAAACGCAAATACTATTTAAAACCCTATAATTCGTTTTTTGCTGACCCGTTTCTTCCGTCGTCTCTTAAACCTCTTCCCTAACCGTCGCCGACTGTTAAATCTTCAGCCAGCGAAGCGACTGCATCGAGCCCAGGTTTCAATCTCCTTCGAATCTCAAGGTTCTCTTCTTCGAATTTCATCTTCAATCTCCTTTTCGAATCACACAAAAATCCCCGCACAATCTCTTCCACAAATTTCCGGTGTTCGTAGAGTCGTTAGGTTCACTTATATTACTGTTTCTTCTCTGTAAATCACAATGCTTCGTCTTCAATTCTCAAAACGATATGTTTCTGGAAAATTCTGTGTTTTGTTTGAATTTTGATGAAATTGTGGAAAACAATTTGTAGGATTCAGGTTTTTGTGGTTTAGTAATCTTGTGATTACGCTGTGTTAATGTTAATTATATTTCTCCATGGATTTCAGATAACTGACAGCTGAATTGCAAGTTAAGAGCGATGAGACTCGATCATGAAGATCTAGAGTATGTTTTTTTGTTAATTCTTTATTGGTTGTAGATTTTAATCCAACTATTTAGATGTTTGTCTAATGTTACTCTTTCTATTGAAACAGCTTGACGAATGATGATAATTTCATCGACAAGGAAAAGCTTTCAGCTCCTATCAAGTCTACTGCAGATAAATTCCAGCTCGTTCCCGAGTTTTTGAAGGTACTACACAGAACACAAATTCTTTATTTTTGCTTTATACGAGTAGCTGAAACTATGCGATTGGGTTTGTTTACTTTCAAAATCAAAGTCTTTCATACTTTGATTGTGTCTTTGTCTTGTTTTTGTAGGTGAGAGGACTTGTGAAGCAACACCTGGATTCGTTCAATTACTTTATCAATGTCGGGATAAAAAAGATTGTTCAGGCAAATTGTCGTATTGCATCCGTAACAGACCCATCAATCTACCTAAGGTCAAACTTTTTTTTTTATCATCTTTTAATCTCGATTTCTTTATGTATGGATATTGATATTTTGTTTCATAATAAGTAAGTAAGAACCGTTGGTGTTTTTGCAGTTCTTTTTTTTTAATCATCCTACGACATTTATATATACATTGAGATTGTTCTATTTATTGGTTCTGCTGTTTCCTAAACTAACCTTTCGTAGCCAAATTTTAATGCAGGTTTAAGAACATCAGAGTTGGTGAACCGTCAATTATAAACCTCAATATTGAAGAACAAATTAATCCGCACATGTGCCGATTAGCAGACATGACGTAAAGAGTTCTTTTTATTTACATTCATCATGTTTTTATAGTTCGATATTTGACCATATGTTGCGCAGTTAAAATTTGGTGAAATCTTTTGCATTTTCCACCTGTTTCTGTTGTTCTGCATTCTTCTACATCATCAGTAACTTTCTTTTTCTCTTGGCTTTGTTAAATGCATTATAACTTCTTGTTTTAATTATCAGATATGCTGCTCCAATATATGTCAATATAGAATATGTTTACGGAAGTCATGGAAAGAAAGCAACAAGTGTAAAGGTAAATGAAAAACTTAATGTATTATACATACTGCTGGTTATTGGAAAATTCAGGCTGAATATGATGTTTCTTTATTTCAGGATAATGTAAAGATCGGAAGGATGCCTATTATGTTGCGGAGTTGCCGCTGTGTATTACATGGAAAAGATGAAGAGGAACTTGCAAGATTGGGTTTGTATTGTACCCTTATTTCAAGCATTACATCTTCTTGTTCATCATATTTATTGTATTTCATTTGGATTCTAGGTGAGTGCCCTCTTGATCCTGGAGGATACTTCGTCATCAAAGGAACTGAGAAGGTTATACTTCATACTTCGTGTATACAATTTACTTGCAGCTATCTTATGGAGTCTATAGATTGCCTTGTAGTCCGCACTTTGACTTTGTGGTTATATGTTGTGTGTTGTTGCATTTTCTTAGTTCAGACTTGATTGTGTGTTTATTTAACTGTTCAACACCGTTCTCGTTCTAAGTGGCGTGTTTCAGTTTTTAGTTTTTTCTGTCAACACAGTTATCCGATTTGTTATTGAATCCTTTCCTTTTTACGTGACCTGAAGCCATGCCATTGCGCGTGTTGGTGTTTGATGTTCATTTCAGGTGTTGTTGATACAAGAACAACTTTCGAAGAACAGAATTATTATTGATTCTGATAAAAAAGGGAAGTAAGTGATCTCTTACAGTATTTTGGTCCCTGTAGTATTGATGGCTAGCATCCCCATATACATTAATTGTCAAGCCAAATCATTGTATCATTCTTCAGCAGTATTCTTCCATTATTTACCCACCCACAATCCAATTATCAATTTTACTATTTAATGACTCTCTTTCTTTTACTACTTATTTTCAGCATAAATGCATCTGTCACAAGCAGCACTGAAATGACGAAAAGCAAAACAGTTATTCAGATGGAAAAGGAGAAGATTTATTTATTTCTTCATCAATTTGTAAAAAAGGTGTAGATACATTTAATGATCATGTAGATCTTTCGGTGTTGGATTCCATTGGCTGATCATGTGATTTTGTCATAGATTCCAATTATAATTGTCCTAAAAGCTATGGGAATGGAGAGCGACCAAGAGATTGTACAAATGGTTGGAAGGGATCCCCGTTTTAGCGCATCACTCTTACCTTCTATTGAGGCAAGTATTATACCCCCCTGCTTTTTATCTTGTGTCTAATTTATGGTCTTTTCGTAATGATACTGGTGTTTGAGTGAACCTTTCAATTTATAATAACTCTAGATCTAGAAGCAGCTGTAGTTCTATGGATGTAAATGTTCGTCCTATGAATTTTTGAATCTCTTTCATTTGCGAAAGTAAACAACAAAGCAGTGATCCTTGTGGTTGATTGTTTTGTTCTCAAAATTTTAGTTAGGAAGTTGAATGTTTGATTTTTAAACTCTTAACTCCCAATACTAACGTGTTGCCAAAAAAAATTTCGTAATACATAAATAATGATATTTAAATCTGATACCATGCATATTGATCAAGTCTGATGCACTTATGAGTCGGTTGGTGATGCATAAGGTTATCGAAGCCACTGCTATGGCTCTTAGAATGGAAGGTTTTGCTTTGACATTCGGAAAATAAATTGTTCTCTCTTGCTCTAGCTATTGAAAGTTATAGGTGATGTGTGAGTATCATTTACCCGTGGCTCACAAAAGAACCTGCGATACGAAACCAATTTCTTAGCTAGTCCTTTTTGTTGAATGTAAAAGTTGATGAATCTCTTATTCTTCCATGCCATCTTGTTCATCCTTTGGGTTCTGACGAGCCTTGATCTCTGAAGCATCATATTTATCTCTCAAAATGCTTATTTAATTTCAGGAGTGTGTTAGTGAAGGTGTGAATACACAAAAACAAGCACTGGACTATCTTGAGGCAAAGGTGCAGTGTTTTCGTTATCTTACAGAGTCATTTAATAGTTTTTCTTTTCAATGATTGTTGTGAACACATATCGTCTACTTTCAAAAATTATCTAAAACCCAGAAAAGAATTTACTTCCCGATTGAAAAAGAGCTCTTTCTATTGTTAAAAAGACCATAGCTCATATCTCACTCTACTGAAAGAAATCTGTCATACACTTTCTGGTGTATAATTAGTTCCTTCCACCTCATTCTTTGATGTATTGAGAGTAAGTCTGCAATTTATTTCCATGTTGTTGTCTTCCATTGAGTAATAAACACACTGAACAGAAGAGCAGACTATCAGGTTATGTTGAGATTAACAATAGATTTTGACTTTTGTCAGTTTGCAGCAAGAAAAATGTGACATATTCTTTTATCTGTTTATTACTGTAGGTGAAAAAAACATCATATGGACCTCCACCTGAAAAGGTATTCATTCTTTCTTCCACTTTTACACTCTCTTGTTCAACTTTGTACAGATGGATAATTTGTTTTTGGCACTGCAAATTTGAATGTGAAAGTTTTCTTGCTAACTGAAAACTCTGCATTGTATATTTAAATGATTTACTAGGACGGAAGGGCTCTATACATCCTCAGAGATTTATTCCTTGCGCATGTACCTGTAAGTATCTTAATTTCTTTTGGTTATAAAATTTTTTAGCCTTTGCTTACTGCTATGTGCTTCTCCTTAAGGTGCGTGACAACAATTTTCGTCAAAAATGTTTCTATGTTGGCGTGATGTTGAGACGAATGATTGAAGCAATGTTAAACAAAGATGCGATGGATGACAAGGTAATATGATGACCTTCTATCTGGAATAGTTTTTTTTGTACTTGTAAAATGTAGTTAAAGTCTGATTATTTTCTATTAGGATTATTGCTGTATGACATGATAGATACTTAGATTAGCCAATTGAAAAAAGGGAGGGACATGCTGAAATGGCTTACAAAATGTCTTGGCCGTCTCTTAGAGGAGCCAATAATATCTAAGACTTCAACTCATTATGATGGCTAACTTGTTAGTCAATGATCTAAGATGAACTAAGGATAGACAAGTCTTACTGTAACTCGAAAGTTCATATTGCCGGCAACGTATGTTCTCAAGTGTGCGTCTTCTTGTAGGATTATGTTGGTAACAAGCGGTTGGAGTTATCTGGACAACTAATGTCTCTTCTCTTTGAGGTGTCGCTGGAATATATCACCAAGCATAGTACTTTCTCTTCCTTTTTTTTGTAAGATTTTTTCTAGCCCTTACCTATTATTTCCCTCCCTCTCCTGCTACAGGATTTGTTCAAAACGATGCTCAGTGAGGCCATTAAAAAAGTAGATGCTATTCTTTTAAAACAAAGCCGGGCTAGCCGATTTGATTTTTCTCAGGTAAGTGTAGACATACATTTCCCTGCTGGTTCAGGTCTTGCAATAATTTTGTTAACACGAAAAACATTTATCTGACACCTCCTATCATTTGGATTTGTAAATGAACTTCAGTCAAAATAACATCAAAGATTCATATTTTAAGATTTTATTTTGTGTTCCCAAGTAATCTAAAAAATATTTCTGTTTGCAATGAGCTCATTATTAACTAGGTGTTATTATGCCGATTACCACTTGCTTTATTAACTTATATTTCCCTTGGATATTCCATTGCAACTTGAATTGCAACAATTAATTATTGCTTCTGTAGCCTTTCACTTAGAATAACATTCCCTTAGATTTTCAGAAATAGTTACTGTAGTCAAAGATCTGATAATAAAACTTCAATTTTCTTTTGTGGTGTGCTCATAGTATATCACTGGAGAAAGTCATAACAGTATTTCTTTTGGACTAGAAAGAACCCTTTCAACGGGAAACTTCGATATTAAAAGGTTCAGAATGCATAGAAAAGGCATGACACAGGTCAGTCTCACTCTCCATATACATCTGTGTGTATGTCTTTAGCCTCCTTCATGCTATATCACTCTCAAAGAAATTTTTTCATATAGGTCTTAACAAGGTTATCTTTTATCGGGAGCTTGGGGTTTATCACGAAAATTTCACCACAATTTGAAAAGTCAAGAAAAGTAAGTGGGCCTAGATCATTGCAACCCAGCCAGGTAATGATACTTTCTTTATCAGCCTGCTGAAATTTGTAAAGAAAACTACTGCTTTCATTTGAAGTATCATTTAATCTGATTTTTGGTATTGTGACTTGTGCAAGTGGGGCATGCTCTGCCCATGTGATACCCCAGAAGGTGAATCTTGTGGGCTTGTCAAGAACTTGGCTTTAATGACTCATGTCACAACAGATGAAGAGGAAGGCCCATTGGTTGCTATGGTATGGTTTGCTATTATTTTTTTTTGCTCATGTAGTCCATTTATTCGCATTAATCGCCTTTCCTATGGATTTGAGAAGGATACCGCCAGAACCACACTACCCTTTCTTATTATCTTCTGCTAGTCATAGATGGATTTTTGTCAATTTAGTACTGAATCTATGTGTTTGAATTAATTTTCTGGAAACAGTGCTACAAATTGGGTGTTACAGATCTGGAAGTATTATCAGCAGAGGAGCTGCATACTCCGGACTCATTTTTGGTCATATTGAATGGGCTAATTCTTGGCAAACATAGAAGGCCACAGGTACTATATATAAAGACATGGTTTTACAACAAGCACAATACACATATTTACACCTCTTCACGAGTTTCTTTTGTTTCAGTACTTCGCCAATTCACTTAGAATGCTGCGTAGAGCTGGAAAAATTGGCGAGTTCGTCAGTGTGTTCACCAACGAAAAGCAGGTATTTCATCGATTAGTTTTTTGGGTATCTATGTTTTGTGTTGTGCACCTTATAGCTTATGTTCATTCGTCCATCAAGCAAAACCCAAATTATCTATTCGGTTATGTTTTTGTGCATAACTGTTTAAGCTTTGTATTTATTTATAAGGATTGGTATAGCTAGAAATAAAGATTAAGATTTCTGAAGACCATGGAAGCTACATTAATTAATTTGTAGAGTCTTCAGTAGCCCCCCTTTTGGTGATTTTGGAGTAGAAATACAGCTACGGATGTCAATTATAAAAGCTACAACTTTGTAGATGGTTGCTGAAATTCCTGCCAATTTTTTTTTTATGAATTCACAAATGTTAACTGAGACTGACTCTGAGGAGAAAATGTTTATCAGCATTGTGTTTACGTTGCATCTGATGGTGGGCGGGTTTGTCGTCCACTTGTTATAGCCGATAAAGGAATATCAAGAGTTAAACAACACCACATGAAGGAATTACAGGTACATGTGTTATATTTTCCCAGATTCATGCATACTTGGTCTTAGTGGTATGAGTTAAATACATTGGCTGACTGATATGTATTTTCTTGAAGGATGGGGTTCGCACTTTTGATGACTTTATTCGTGACGGTTTGATCGAGTATCTTGATGTCAATGAGGAAAACAATGCATTGGTTCGTCTCAGTCTCCATATTTTCTAGATGTATTATATTATATTGCACCCTAGGCAGCCTAAAATGATAAACTGCTCTTTTTCCTTGTCTTAAGATCGCTTTATATGAAAGTGAAGCCACTACGGAACTGGATGAAGGAGCAGAAGCTGCTAAGATAAGGGCAGACATAACCCACATTGAGATTGAACCTTTCACCATCTTAGGTGTTGTTGCTGGTCTTATTCCCTACCCTCACCATAATCAGTCACCTAGAAATACGTATCAGGTTTGTGTTTCTAGACAATCTGACATAAGCAGCTCCAATTTCTGTTGGTTTGCATTTCGTTCTTAGTCCTGTTACATTTTATGCAGTGTGCTATGGGGAAACAAGCTATGGGAAATATTGCTTACAACCAGGCAAGCCCATTTATGCCTTTCATATCATTTCATTGAGGCAAATCCTGTTGCTTTCCAGTTTTGGTGTGATTAGATAAATTGTTGCCTATTATGCTATCTCAGGTTTTGCTTTGGTTATGTGAAGTCTAAATACTTTAACGCCTGTATCATCTTGCATTGTGTTTTAGTATATCTTGCTCTCTCTTGGATACTGAGTTTGCTTTTATAATCTTTATATTTAGTTAAACCGGATGGACACATTGCTTTACCTATTGGTGTATCCTCAGCGACCCCTGTTGACGACAAGGACAATTGAATTGGTAAGTTACTTTACTCTAATAGGAATGTGTTAATAATATGGAACTAATAAATTATGCTTGGTAACAGGTTGGATATGATAAACTTGGAGCAGGTCAAAATGCAACAGTTGCTGTTATGAGTAATACTGGATACGACATAGAGGATGCAATAGTGATGAACAAATCTTCCTTGGATCGTGGTTTTGGCCGCTGCATTGTTATGAAAAAGTATGTAATGGATTTCTATTTAAGGCAAAGTCGTTTGCTTTGAAAAATCGTCTATTACATTAACTATTGCTTCTCGTGTTGTGTTGTTTTGTGAAACAGAATTGTTGCTACGTGCCAGAAGTATGACAACAGTACAGTAGACAGAATACTCATGCCACAAAGAACAGGCCCAGATGCAGAAAAGATGCAGGTAGTACATTTTGCATGCATATGCCCCTATTGTAAGACTTGTGCAAGTCATTTTTTTTCTTAAATGGCATCTTTGAGAATTACTGTTGTTGCAAATGCAAATTCCTTCCGGATTTTTAGATGATGTGGAAACAGCCCTTGGTAATCCATTGAGCACAAAATATATTTTTCGGACTTTTGCCATTTCTTATCAGAGGGAGCAAGTACAATATGGTTGTTGCTTATTTGAAATTGTGACTGTTTTTTTCTCAAAATAGACGCTCCATTAACAAATATATGACTTTGCCTAGAAATTATGACAGAACTGGCATAAACCCTCCTCTTCTGAATCTGAAGATAAGAATATTCTTAATCCTGCTTATCCAAACGGCTAGTGAGAGTGTCTGAATATCGGCATTTTCCTTCTCTTTGTTCTTTTTTGTGGTTTATTTTTTATTTATTTGACTGTGGCCTTTCCCTCTGCTAATACATGTTGAATACTTTTTCATGTTAATTATTTTTTCGTTTCAAGATACTGGATGATGATGGAATTGCTTCTCCAGGGGAAATTATCAGACCGAATGATGTTTATATATATAAACAAATCCCTGTGTGCACAACAAGAGATAAGATTACATCTCCGCTATCTGATAGGTATCCAATAAACTTTTCAGAATATATGATCATAATTGTTTCTTAAAACTGTAATCACAGATGTACAATTCGTTGTGTAATTTTCAGTCAATACCGTCCGGCCAGAGAGTTTTTCAAAGGTCCTGAAGGAGAGACGCAAGTGGTCGATAGAGTTGCTCTCTGTTCTGATAAGAGTGGCAGTTTATGCATCAAATACATCATACGACATACTCGTCGACCAGAGGTGAGAATTTTTGTCTTTAATACTGTTATGTATCTAGACCTAGGCCTTAGGCCTCATGTTCTGCAGTGTTACTCATGTCTTGTTCTGACTTTTTTATAGCTTGGCGACAAATTCAGTAGTAGGCATGGGCAGAAAGGTGTATGTGGTACAATTATTCAGCAAGAAGATTTTCCATTTTCTGAGCTTGGAATTTGCCCTGATTTGATCATGAATCCTCATGGGTTTCCAAGGTCAGAAAATATTCCTTTTAAGATTTGTCTCTATTTATCTGTGCATGTAGATACCTTTTTATAACGTGGAGCCAAAAAAAAACATCCTTTATTTGTGTACAAGTGTGTGGGTGTGTGTATTTGGGGTCTTTTTGTGTGGAGGTTTTGCTTCATTTGTTATCGTCAGGGTGCCTTAACTATAAGAATCATTTCGATGTAACAAACAAGGAACAATGGATTTCCAGTTAGCACAAAATCTTAGAATCTGTTTTGGTACCCAACTTGAAGCAACAGTTATGTTCTCTTCCGTTTGGTCCAAAATTTTCGAGTTTCATCTGAAGTTCTTGATTACTTGAAATTTTGTATTAAAACTGACGAATGTATTAACATATTTCTTGTCACAGTCGTATGACAGTTGGTAAGATGATTGAACTCCTTGGAAGCAAGGCTGGCGTTTCTTGTGGTAGATTTCATTATGGTAGTGCTTTTGGAGAAAGAAGTGGTCATGCTGACAAGGTTGAGACTATAAGGTACTCTTTTCTCTCTTAAATATGAAGTTTCTTCTTCCATATATAAACTCTTCTTTTGGCATTTAATGTTGTCGTATGTCTTTTATCATTTCAGTAAGACCCTTGTGGATAAAGGGTTTTCATACAGTGGGAAGGACTTGTTATACTCAGGTACTTCATTGTGAATTTGTACACATTTCAAAATGTGCAATCATATGTTAGCTTTCATTTTAGTATGTGTTGTTAAATTCTTCAAATACTAAGTCGTTTAGGATTTACTCAAATGAACCAAGGCATTATCATTTTTGACATTTTTAACACTCGGACATACTCATTCTTATTCCAAAGCTATATAGCTCATGATTCTTTCTTTGTACATCAACCTGACGATCTTGAGCGTCTTGCAGGTCTCAGTGGCGAGCCATTGGAAGCATACATCTTTATGGGGCCGATATATTACCAGAAATTGAAACACATGGTGAGGTTCCTCTTACCTATTTGGACCATTTTTTTTTCTGTTTTGTAATCACACAAAAAAAAAATAATAATAAAATCTATAAATCAGAGTGTACAGTAAATTTTTCGGAGAAGTAATCAGAAATTCTCGTTTTTGTACTTTTGTTAAATAGGTTTTGGACAAGATGCATGCGCGAGGGAGTGGACCGCGTGTCATGATGACAAGACAGCCTACTGAAGGGAAATCTAAGAATGGAGGTATGTGCCTCTTGCTTCTCTTCTCAATCGTATCTTTAACAGAATTTATCTGTTCTCTTCTCAATTGTATCTCTAATACTGTTCCAGGTTTAAGAGTGGGAGAAATGGAACGAGATTGTCTTATTGCTTATGGGGCCAGCATGTTGATCTACGAGCGGCTCATGATTTCTAGTGATCCTTTTGAAGTTCAGGTAATTAGATCATAATGTATTGTTTTGATAAGTGTCAAGTTCTGCGAAATCATTGCAACTTCTGTCTCGCTGACATTGTATCAAAGATATCATCAACATCGAACGGGGTAATCTTTTATATCTTGGAAACGGGTAGAACGCCAACTATTTTTGATACACTATTTCACGTTTATATGCAGGTTTGCAGAGCTTGTGGTTTGTTGGGATATTACAATTACAAGCTTAAAAAAGCAGTTTGTTCAACATGTAAAAATGGCGATAACATTGCTACTATGAAACTCCCATATGCATGCAAGCTACTATTCCAGGTAAAACCATTGATCCACTGCTCAAATTGAAACTCTCTTCTTAGTCCCATTTGGAAATGATAAAATCATTTTGATCTTTGGATACAAATTTCTTCCTAAATAAGTAAGAATCACTTAATGTTTTCGGTTTTACTGGTTTGTGATAGGTCTAATGCTTAAAAAATTCCATTCTTTTATTTTTCTTCTGGCTTGTTTTTGTTATTTCTTAACTCGTTCTGTGCATTACGTGGTAACAGGAACTCCAGTCGATGAATGTTGTTCCGCGTCTGAAACTTGTAGAGGCTTGATCTCAGGGAAGCGTTATCAAACTGTTTTCAACTTGGATGATAATATTTGATACAACTTCGATTGCTTTTGGTGTGATATTTGCTGTCAAAGTCCTCAGGTTTGATCATATTTGTTTTGTTCTTAATTGATGTACTGAACCTTTGGAAAAAAATGACTAATGAGAAGAAAAAAAAAAAAAACACTCCGTTGGTTATAGCAAGAATATCAGCTGGCTTGTTTACCATCTCTCTTTACCCAAATTAATTGTATTTCCTCAAATTTGTTCTTCCAAATTTTGACATCACGTATCCAGTTACATGAACCATAGTCTTGTACCATTAAATAGAGCATCCAAATGTCTATTATCTCCTTCAAAACAGACCTTTTTCTACTAAAAATTAGTATTGGTCAAAAATATTTTTTAAAAACAAAATCTTAGTAATTGATACAATCTATTAACTCTGAGCATTCACTTAAAAGTTAAAACATAAACGAAAGATAGAAGCACATTTTTCTTTTTTGATAAAGTGCACACACTAAGTTATGATATCTAATTACAAAAGAGATCCAAATAAATCTCTCCAAATACAAATATCTTCAGATTCCACGAAGGCAGAAGTATCATCATGATATACACTGTTGTTGTTGTCAATGCAAGAAAAGTAAAGTAACAAAGACGAAGCAAACACATAAAGTCTCGATGTTCTCTACTATGTGACTAACCAAAAGAGATCTCTCTTAAGGTACGAAACTAAGCACAACACGATGAACTCACTGCTGTAGCCCCTGGCCCATTTGGGAGAACCATTCCTGTCGGGTTTTCAGCTGGCTGTACACGCGGTAGCCTTTTCGCTGTAGCGGTTTGAACAAAAGAAACAAAAAAGTGGAAAGGGATTTAGTGGAAAATTAAATTGTTGGAAATGCCTTTCTTGATAGAAGAATGACTCACCAATTTCGTAGAATATGTCTTTGACATTTGTCGCGGTCTTCGCTGAGGTTTCCATGAAGAAAAGGCTGTTCTCTTGAGCATATATCTCTGCCTCCTGCAAATGACATATCAAGGACTACTTAACAACACAACTCAGCAATGAAAAAACCAAGTCTGTATGGATTGTAATAGAAGATTTCACGGGCAGCAGTCGAATTGTTAGTTAACATTGGAGCCAAGCTGCACCCCAAGTGTTAGTTAACATTTTCTCCCCGTACTTTCGAATTTCATCTCAAAGATTTTTGGCATTAGCAAAGCAATATCAGACAGAACAGGAAAGGAAGATTTGGTTTACCTCTGCAGACACCTTTCTTGCATCTAATAAATCAGCTTTGTTTCCAGCAAGAGCCATCACCATATTTGGGTTACCTATGCACATGAAAACAAAATCCACATTAACATATAATGATACAAAATAAACCACACTAACTATCAGAAAATAGGAATCATAAACTAGCTAAAACCAAAGTCAGCTATTCCATACCTTGTGCCTGCAGTTCCTGAACCCATTTCTTCGCCCTCTCAAATGACGCCTGTGGCAATAGAAAAACAAAAGTTAAGAAAACCTAACTTTGCAGAAAGCCTTAAACTGCCACTAAAGTCCATATGTGATCAGTAAATTAGTGCATTCATGACTAAAGCACAAGAATAGTGAGTCCGTACTTGATTTGTAATGTCAAAGACAATAATAGCAGCAGCTGCACCCCTGTAGTACATTGGAGCCAAACTATGGTATCGTTCCTGACCAGCTGTATCCCATATCTCAAACTTCACAGTCGCATCATTCACAGCCAATGTTTGAGAGAAAAAAGCTGCACCTATGGTTGATTCCTACAACACAACGAATATCGAAAATCAAAAACAAACCACAGAAACTAAGAAAAAATCTCTAATAAGATTACAGCCACCAACCTGGAATTCAACAAACTGATCTTTAACAAAACGCAGCACAAGACTTGATTTTCCAGCGCCAACATCTCCTAGTAACACCTGAAGAACTTAACCAAGTTAACCACCAATACAAATTAAAGGAACTAAACAGATTTTTTCTTCTGCTACAGATGTTAACAAAGAGACTTTACTTAAAAACGACCTTAGATTCTAAAATTGTCCACAAGCATCCTTAGATCGGATAAAACTCATACTGATATAGCTGAATCGTTAGAACCCTAAAACAAAACTATTAGATCGGATAATCCAAGAAATCTACAATTTTTACTCCAAACCCTAGTTTTATACTGATCAAACATGCGATTTCTGAAACGATTAGAATTCAATTACCCAATTTCGGATCAGAAAATTCGGTTCAAAATTCCCCCAAATTGGAAACAGAAACCAAATCATAAAAATCAACGATCTGATCATAATTCTCTTAAATTCACGATCATCATTCAAAGGATAAACAAAACCCAGAAGGCTAAAACTGACCAATTTGGCGTTGATGTTCTTGTTTCCAGAGGTAGCCATGACTATTGATTGATTGATCTGATGATAGAGTATTTGAAGCTGGAGAATGTTCTGCTAAAATAGAAAGAAAATTGAAGATGAAAGACGCGTTGACAATCGAAAGACGGAGAAGAGAGACCTAAGAAGCTTCCTCGTCAACAAACAACCAAATTTCTCTCTTTCTCTCTCCCGAAGACGAAAGCAACAAAAATAAAAAAGCAGAGAAGAAAAATCAAAGAAACAATTTTTATACGGCTCGTGAATATGACACGAGACTTAAATAAGTAAAAACCACACCAAAATATTGAAATTACGATGAATTCCTATATTTATCTAAAATACTAAAATAGCCCCAAAATCAAAAATATGTTCACGGTGAACCCCACTACCGTAGATTCTTTGTAAAATCTAATTTTTAGGTCTCCCTTCTTTGAGCAAATACAAAAAGTTTTCATGTTCATTTCATAGTTAGCAACAACAACTAATAATAGCGATTACGATAAACCATAACAATTAAAAATAGCGACTAGAAATATATTTTGTTGTTTGTTTTGTAATCTTTAGTCAGAGTCACATTTAACAGATAAAAAGAAAGGAAAAATGCTATTATTTACATCCGAAAGATTTGAACTCAAAACCTTTTGTCTCAAAAATTATTTTGCATTTGTTAAATTAAGAAAACATATTGAATACTAAGGGTCGATTTATATATACAAATAAATATATATACACATATATATATACACGTTTTAAATTTTTTGAACCAGCAACTATAAAATTAGTAGCTGGAAAAGCAACCGCTTGTGGTCCTTATTTATATGATCACAAAGTGTTGCTTTTCCAGCTACTAATTTTGTAGTCGTTGGTTCAAAAAATTTAACGTTTAAAATTTTGGATTAGAGTCAGTTATTGATATTTGTCTTTATTAATAATAAAACGTAACTATGAAAAACACAAGTTTTGTCGGTACAAATATATCATTGTGTTGTGGCAAGTGAGTGTTTAGCAAAATCCTCAATAGTAGATTGCTGTCTCACGCGTCAAAACTGGGCGTGTGATTTAATTTTGTCGGTCATGAAGTTATTGAACGGTTTAAGACGAGACTATTTTACATGTTTTAATTGGAAGATATTATGAATCAAACTTCTTTGTAGTAAAAAAAAAAAAAACTTTCTTTATAGTCGAACAAAATATCGTTATCTACACAAATGCACGTTTTTCAATATGGGTTATGCGCGCTTTCATCAGTGGACCCAATTATTTATTAGTTGAAGACAAGAAAATAATTTTAACTTGTTTGTTTTGAAGAAAAAAATTGGATGACAAAACATTATGGATGTTTAGAATAACTTATAACTAACTTGAATCATTATTGCTCAGTACCATTTTTGAATGATAGCTATAAGATGTGAGTAAAAAAACTTATATATAACTTATAAATAGTGGAACGGCGGAATAACTGAATAATTATTAGTGGAATAAACTGAACTAGATAAAGTTTAAACAATGGAAATATAGTTTTAGTAGATTAATCATGTTTTGTTTTTTTTTCCGAGTTATATTTTGACATGTTATGTAGTAGTATACAACAGAA